TTCGTTGGGACACTGGGAATCGGCCTACAGGCTGGCCCCGGGCTGGCCCCCCGCCGGCTGGCCCTGGCGCAGCCCTTGTGGAGTGAGGTGCCCACAGAGGGAGGAATGGTGCTCTCGGTAAGCCACGGACAGCGAACCCTGTGCGCGTGCAGACACACTCAGACTGGTCCTGTCTCGGTTGCGAGGAAGGGACAGGGTCCCCCTGACGGGGAACAGGAGCCGACAGTCGCTCGCAAAGGCCTTCCTCGGCTCTGGCGACAGGCGTCACTCGGTGGGCGCCGAGTCTGCCCTTGTAAACCGGGTATCAGATCAGATGCTCCGATAGGCCTTCCGGGGCCGGGGCCCCCCCTCGGCCAGTCAGCACACCCCACAAAGGCCCTGGCGCTGAGGCTCACCCGCAGGGCCCCGGTGCGCCGCGTGGGCCTGGCCACCCGCAGGGGCCTGGCCGCCCGCTGAGTGCCCCACCACAGGCATCCTTGTCGCCTCCTGGAAAGGAGGGGAGCCGGGCTGGTTTGAGGGTCACAGTGCCATCCGCTGCAGGCCTCGAGGGGCCAGGCCCTTGGTGCAGGAGCGGGGTCCCTCCAAGGGCTCACACCATCTTGGGGGGTTTAGGTGCCCAGGTTGTAGGATCGAAGGTCTCCCGCAAGGCCCCTGCTGTGCGCCCAGGAAGGCTGGGGCAGGGCCTGCAGGAGCGAGGGCGGTTGCTGCAGGCAGGCAGGCAGGCAGGAGGGTGGCGTCCAGCAGGGCAGAGCTGCAGGCCTGGGCCCTGGCTGGGGTGGAGGTGAGGATGGGGACCAGACGGGGCACGGCGGGCGGGGGAGCAGCCGTGCGGGAGGTGCTGCTGGTCACCCGTGGCCCCCGTCCCCGTCCCCACAGCTTCGCCATGTTCCACAAGGTCCGGATCCCTCGCCAGGACCTCCTCAACCGGACGGGAGACGTCACCCCCGAGGGCACCTACGTCACCCGCTTCAAGGTAACAGTGTCGGCACGGGAGCCGGAGTGGGTGGCAGACCTCGTAGGTCTGGGTTCCGGTGCCACCAGCAAGGAAGGCGGTGCTTGGGTCAGCACCCCCGGGGGCACTGCCTCCACTCCCCCCGCCGCCCTGCCAGCCCTCGGGGTGTCAGGGAGCCCCGCCCGACGTGGAGGCCCGGAGGTGAAGGCTGCTTGGCCCACAGAGGGGGGCGAGTGTTCTCTGGTGTCCAGGGCTCGGTGCCCCCCGTCCTGTAGGACACGGTGCTCCGCTCGGAGCTGAAAGCGAAGGTGAAACATGGGCGCCCCGAGGGGTTGTCCTAATTTTTAAAAGAACAGGGATGAGCATCGTGCACTTTAAAAGGGTGTCGCTTGCGGGGAGAGGGATTTGGGGCCTGAGGGTCAAAGGCCGGCAATTTTTAAACGAACGTGGGCTCCAGCCTAGCGCTGTCCACCTGGGGTCGCCCCGCCTGCACGCCTGGTCTCTGCTGACAGGTGGTCCCGCCCCGGGTGGGAGCCTGCAGACTCCCTGGCTGGGACCCCCTTCCTCGTGGAGCTGAGCGCCCCGGGGCCTCCCCACCCGTCCCACGAGGGTCATCGAGGCCCTGCCCCCGCCCGGCCCCCCGGCCTGGAGGTCTGCAGCGGGCGCCTGGGCAGGACTCGCGGCGCCCACCTGCCCGCTGAGAGGAGGAAGGAGCGCCCGTCTGTGTGCCTCTCGGTGGCGCGGCCGCGAGGGTGGCCGTGGCTCTGACGCGCCCGCGCTCTCCCCGCAGGACAGCAGGCAGCGCTTCGGTGCGTCGCTGGGCGGCCTGTCCCGCGGGCCGCGTCTGCATCGTGGGCATGTGCGTGGTGAACCTGAAGCTGGCCGTGTGCATCGCCCTGCGGTTCTCGGCCACCCGGCGCCAGTTCGGACTGGCCGACGGGGAGGAGGTGCCGGTGCTCGAGTACCAGCTGCAGGTCGGCCTCCCTCCGGGGGTCGCTGGGTGTCACTGCGCTCTCTCTCACTCCCGCCCGCCCACAGACACGCTCTGCCTCCAGGGAGCTGCCTTTTGCTCGCTGGGAGCTGAGCCACCCTGGGGGGGAAAGTCCCAGAGCCGTGGGCGGGCAGTCACCACAGAGGGAGGCAGGCGGCAGGCGGGGAGGCGAGGCCGGTGGTGAAAGGGCTTTAATGAAAGGGTCTGTGCGGCGCCCGATAAGGAGGCAGGAGCGCCCTGGGAGGCTCCGGGGAGACGGGTGTGCACGCGCCCCTGGGCAGCCCTGCAGGCTTCGGCAGGTGGCCCGCACGCCCAGGCGCTGGCCCGGCCATCCATCCTTAGAAATGGCCCTGTGTGCACGCCGTCTGCTGTGCGGCTCTCGGAGTAGCGGAAGGGACCCTCGTCCTGCAGGTCTGCAGAGCGGGCGGCCAACGGTCACCTGGGAGGGGACACGCATGTTTTCACATGAACAGCCTTCCACTCCTCGGGGTCGGTCTTTTTTTTTGGAGGTGAGGGAAGGAGGGAGAGAGAGAAATATTGATGTGAGAGAAACACACTGATCGGTTGCCTCCTGCACCTGCCTCCTCGGGGCGGGGGATCGAACCTGCAGCCCGTGTCACTGCCCTGGACCTGGAATAGAACCCAGGACCCTCCCGGGCACAGGCCTTCAATCCAGCCACTGAGCTGCACTCGCCAGGGCTCGTGCTGGTCTTCACAGCACCGCTCCCAGCTCATGGGTGGGCTGAGGACGGCAGGTGACTCCTGTCGGAGGTCGTAGTGAGGCCTGGCCCAGGCCTTGGGCTGAGCCACACGTAGGCAGAGCGTGTTGAGGGAAGCTCCAGGAGCTGTGACTCTCACAGCTGGGCTCAGCGCTTCCTGTGCTGTGGCTGCGAGCTGCCTACAGCGGGTCCGGAGCGAGTGCCCACGCCTGCCGTGGCCCCGTCCCCACCACTCGAACCCCATAGCCTCGCTCCCCTCCTGCCGTGGCCCCTTCCCCACCACCCGAACCCGCAGCCTCGCTCCCCTCCTGCCCTGGCCCCTTCCCCACCACCACTGCCCCTGTGGCCCATGAGGTTGCCACGCATCGGCCTGCCTGGGCATCGAGCGGCTCAGCGGTTGAGAGCCCCCTTGAGCCACAGTGCTGGGCTCTCACCCAGGTCCGCACCCACCGCTGTGTGCCCTCAGCCAGGCCCTGGACCTCTCTGTGCTGCCTCACTTGTCAGCTGGTGACAGCCCCTCTTCCTGGTGGTTGTCAGGATTGGACCCATTGGTGCGGAAGCAGCAGGTGGCACAGTGTCGGGCACGCGGCATTGGGCACCGACCGCGGTTCCCAGGCCTCTCCCGGCTCCTCCCCAGGCCCTGCCACCCCGCGGCCCTGCATGTGCCCGGTGACCAAGCCCGCCCCCTGCCTCCGAGGGCCTCTGGCTCTCCGTGAGCCTCGGTTCCCCCATCTCTCTCCTCGGCTCATGAAGCGCCAGGCATCACGGGTCAGCCCGCGCTCTGGGCACGGAGGCCGGTGTGGCGGGGTCCCGGTGGCTGACACTGTGCCGGCGTCATGGTGGGGGCAGCGGGGAGGGCGGGCGTGCGGGGCTGCACACGGCTCCGCGGTGCCTGTGGGGGTGGTCAGGTGGGAGAAGAACCGTCGAGTGTCTCGGAAACACGGAGACGCATGAGGGGACCAGGGGGCCGGCTCCCACCGCTCCGGTCTCAGACCTCCTCCACACGCCCTGGGGCGCGGGGCGGGAGGGGCTCACGCCGCCCGTGGCTCCCTGCAGCAGTGGCGCCTGCTCCCGTACCTGGCGGCCGCCTACGCCTTGGACCACTTCTCCAAGTCGCTCTTCCTGGACCTGATAGCGCTCCAGCAAGGCCTCCAGCGGGACGACCGGAGCGCCAGGCAGGTGAGAGGGACTCACTTTTCTCTGCTTTTTAAAAAAATGTATATTTTTTATTGATTTCAGAGAGGAAGGGAGAGGGAGAGAAAGATAGAAACATCCATGATGAGAGAGAATCATGGGTCGGCTGCCTCCTGCACGCCCCACACTGGGGATTGAGCCCACAACCCGGGCCTGTGCTCTGACCGGGAATCGAACCGCGACCTCCTGGTTCATAGGTCGACGCACACCCACTGAGCCACACCAGCCGGGCTCCCCACAGTCTCTGTTACAGTTTAAACCAGCCTTTCTCTCCAAACGCCAGCCCCTGGCCTGGGGGGTGAAGGCTCCCGTGGCCCATCACCGTGTCCGCCCACTCGGAACCCTCAGAGCCTCTCCCCATGGCTGCCGAGCGCCCGCCTCCTCTGGCTGGGGTTGCCCTATGAGAACGTGACGTGACGGCTTTGCACGATCACGTGACCAGCCTTGGGAGGGTTCCAGGCCCTAGTCCTTCTGTAAACAGTCCACAGAGGTCCGAGTCCAGCCAACAGATGGGAGTGGACAGGCAAGGCCTAGTGCCAGCAACGGGCGTGCACCGCCCACCCCCCCAGACCAGCCCTCCTCATTTCTTTGTGGACTGGGGTGGGGGGGAGGAGGGGTGGGGGGGGCGGGTGGTCTCCCTCGCCCCCTCGCTGCCTCCTGGACAGGCATCACCTGTGAACCCCACGCAGCGCGTTCATGGACAACTAGAGACGCTGCAGGTCGGGGTGTGTGCCATCCCCTGCAATGCCTGTACCTGTGGGTGCACCTGGAGCCACACAGCTCAGAGCCCAGGCTGCCAGAGCGCAGGGTGGCCGGCAGGGGGCGCTGCCGAGCGGGCGCCTTGCCCCCAGGAAGGCGGGGTGACCAGGCACCCGGGACTCAGAATAGAAAACACGGATCAGCAGGCGTGCGTCTCTTTCTCCCCAGGGTCTTTATTAAATTCCAAGTGGAAGCAAAGGGTGTTTCTAAGACACGGGAGGCCGGGAGTGGGCGGGCTGAGTGTGGCCGCGGCTGCATCGGGACCCGGCCCTGCCCGGCCCCCTCGCCTCGGAGCACGTCTGGCACTGTGTGGGATCCCTCGCCAGCAGGCTGCTCCGGTCAGGGCCGCGCCCGGCACACGAATGAGCCTCGTGCATGGTCCTGCCCGCAGCCTTCTCCCTGGGCCTGTTGGCTGGGCAGAGGTGGCCCCTGTGTTTTCTCCACCGTGTGCCCATTCGTAGGTGAATGCCCCCTTTTTAAAAAAAATATTATTGATTTCAGAGAGGAAGGGAGAGGGAGAGAGAGAAACATCAATGATGAGGGAGCATCATGGATCGGCTGCCTCTTGCGCGCCCCACACTGTGGATCGAGCCTGACACCGGGGCGTGTGCCCTGACCAGAATCGAACATTGACCTCCTGGTTCGTAGGTGGTGGATGCTCAACCACTGAGCCACGCCAGCCGGGATGAATCCCCTTTTTTCAAGCTGAAAGTGGGATTCTTTCTCCTGCTGAGGGGTGTGTTGGATTAACTGGAGGGACGTGTGCCTTTGCCACCCCGGCTGACCGGACCCCCCGCTGGTGTCAGAGCCTCTGTTCACTGTGCCCTTTGCATTCCTCCTCAAGGCAGAGCTGGGACGTGAGATCCACGCCTTGGCGTCGGCCGGCAAGCCTCTGGCCTCGTGGACGGCCCAGCGGGGGATCCAGGAGTGCCGCGAGGCGTGCGGAGGACACGGCTACCTGGCCGGTAGGTTTTAGAGACGCGAGTGACCGTTTTCTGTCCTTACCCCTCCCGCTCGCTCCAGACCAGGGGTCGGCACACTGCGGCCTCCCAGGCCAAACCGGCTACCCCGGCTCTTATGGCCACCCCTTCCCGCATTTCCCATGGCCGTGCCCACCCTGCATCGGTGGCTCAGTGGTCCCGACAGAGCCGGAAACGGTCGCTGTCTGGCCCTTCGCAAGTTTGCTGCCCCCCTGCCCTGGACGGTGCCCTGGAAACATGGAACTCGGGGTGATGGGGGTGTGGAGGACCCCGAGGGAGCCCCTACACACCAGAGCAGGGAGGAGATCATCTCTTCATTTGAATCATAACTTTCTGGTTAAGGACTTGGCAGTAAATCGACATCAACTTTTGTTCTGATGAAAAACTTTTAAACAGGAAAAGTTAAGTTCTTCGTGGCCTTGGCTGTTGGTTGGTCAGCTGGTGTGTGGGTAAGAGAGCGGGCAACCAATAGCCTGGGAGCCCGTCCTGGCTCTGCCGCTCTAGCCTTGTCACCGTGAGCAAGCCACCTGCCCCTGCTGAGCCTCAGTGTTCTCCCCTGTGAAATGGGGGTGCAGATACGATCCCACAATGGAGGTTCTGGCACCGGCTAAGTGGATTAATGCACACAAAGCATTTGGCACAGTGTCTGGCGTCCAGGCTGTGCTCAGTGGCTTTTATTGGCTGTTGTTTCTTGAATTATCGGGATTACAGTCGCTATGACTTGCAGCTGGCCTGCCCAATTTCCTGTGTCCCCACCTCGAGTGACTGGTGAAATCCTGGTCCCTCTGAGAAGGCCACGTGCACATCGAACAATAGACTTGGCAGAGCCCTGACAGTTCAAACCTCCGACAGCGTCTCAGGCTCTGGCCGAGTCGGGGCGCCCTGGGGACGGCTGTGGATAAGTGCACCTGCCCGCGGGCCGTCCCAGGTGCTTCTCGAGCAGGGCGGCCAGCGTGGCTCTCGGCGTCCCACGCTCCGCCTCTCCCCGTCACTAACTGGCGAGCTGGAAACCACGGCTCCACACGGGTTCCTGGCGTGCTTTGTCTTCCACGAAATGCTCTTTGTAGTTTTTGTTTGTTGCTGTAGCTCTTGGAGACGCTATGAATAGTTTAGAATGAGGCATTGAATCCTGCAGCATCGCAGACAACAGAGACGCCCGATCGAGTGTCCTCACGCAGACAAGCGCGGGGCTCGCACCCCAGGGCTGAGCGCAGCAGGGTTGGGGGGGAGCCGGGGGGGGGGGGCAGGCCCCTTAGTGAGGCTTGCACGGCGATTGCAAACTATTTCTCTAAGTCAGGGGATCTCAACCCTGGAGTG